TGGTGGCCTGTGACTCATGCAGTATTTAAACATGGATGAGATTCATCCTTTTCAATCATACATGTTCTACAGTGCTGGGGGAGACACTTCCAGCCACAGTTAGACTAGCTAGTAATTGTAGCTCATTTACTTCTCTCCTTTCCTGGTGCTAAACTAAATGCTGCCCTGACTTCAAACAACTTTCAGTCAGGAACTATAATGCAAAACAAAGTTGTCCAGAGACACTTTGGATGCCTTATCTCAGGAAGTGCCTCAAGACCAGATTGGACAGGGCTTTCGGCATTCTGGTGTAGTGGAAGGTGTCCCTTCTAGAGGAGGAGAAGGGAAGTCAGACTTGTTGAGCTTTAAATGTTCCTTCCAACATAAATCAACCTGTGCTTCTATGATTCTATGATGTAGAGGCCCTTCACATTCTCACTGTGCATCTAAGCTGCCACTTTTAGGACAAATCTATTGGGCAACTTCCTGTTTTTCACCACCTTCTCTAGTGGTGATAAGTATAAGATCTCAATATTCCCACATTCATACTGAGTCTTTAAAAATTCCTGGATTTCAGGGAATTCTTTGAGGAGAAAATACTTAGTTTGGTATTTCATTTCATTTTAGGTACAAAAACTGAGAGATTATTCTGTGTAAAATAGAAAAATACCAATACTGTGCTCAGTTTGAAAACCATGAGGGAGTTGGTTTTAAAAGCAAAATGAAAAGGCATGTTCTTGCATGCTTGTGTTGCTGGCTTGTAAAGCAGTTATGTGTTTCAGAAGTCACATTCAGTTGTCACAGATTACTGGTGATAAGTTGACATGAAATAGGAATATAGCTGAAACAAGATGAATTATTGTTCAAGATCAGTGTTGTTTTAGAAAGAATATGACAAAACAAAACAGTTTAAGCCATGTCATCATAACATTTCTCCCCCTTTTATCCCTTTAATTCTTGTTAGACAGCTGTTTTCCCTGTTGAAACATTCCAATATTCTAAGCAAATGACAGAAAAGCAATATGGAATTGTTAAAGCATTATAGTATTAATTCATTCTATTTGCAATTAAAATGTCAAGTGTAAGATATTGGTTGAAAGTATTTATGGGCTGAGAGTCACTCAAGAGGCTTGTATATCCTAGACCTGCTAAGCAACATTTAAGAAAACTATAGTATTAATGGGCATTTTAGACTCTGTCAGTCTCATTTTGGATCAAGATCCTGTAGTAGCATAAATGGACAGATTGGTGTAGTTCGCATATCACACATATCATCTAGTTGAGGAAGCTGCATGTTCCTCATTTGTTGCACTGAAATTAATACTATTTCTCTCCTGATTTAGTATTTGATATGTGTATTCAAATTATTTATATTTCAAATGCTGCTTTCACAGTAAATAACATATGATATATAAAAGGCCAAAAATATAGTAGGGAGAAAATTTTATGCAAGCCTTTTCTCAGATGAGTAAAATAGCAAGGAAGACTTAGCATCTAAGTTACTGGTGAGACATCTTAATTACAGGCAATGAAACTACAGCCTAACAAATCAAGTTTAGCTACACTGGAAATGTGTTTTTAGTGTATGGGCCAAATTTTTCTCAAGTCTGCATGGTTCTCTGATATGATTTATCATATACTAGCTATTCATATTTCTCATAGTCAAGTCAAAGTCAGGATATACGTCCTAACTTTAGATTTGAGGGTAGTTTTGTATGCTAATGAGAAAGTTACTGAATTTTCAACAGCAACTTCAGACAAAAACAAGGAGATTAGGAAAAAGCTGGAGAAGTCTCTCCAGCAGCTCAGAAGGCCTTGTTTTCATTTTGCATTAAGAAAGAATTGCACCAGGGATAAATAGACTTTAGCCCTTTGAAATGTTTCATCTTTAAGATGAAAACATCTTTAAGAAAGGTTAAAGAGATGAGCTAAAACTCCATATTTACTTTGTGTTGTGGGAGGCAAGTTTTTCTCTGAAACATCTGTAAGGCTCTGCGTATGCTTGAGATTTTGCAGAAATAAAGATTATCAATTTTAACTGCTGCCTGACTGGAGAGAGAATTCAAGGGAGCTCTACCAATTGACACCTTGGGCACATAATGAAATCACATTTTTCAACCCTTTGGCTGAATAAAAGCAATGGCCTACTCCTCAACCACCAGCTTACATTGTATCAGCCTCATACTCGTGTTTTGTTTGTGAAAGACAAGTACCTTTTTACAAAACAGCCCAATACCCCCTCTAATATGTAATGAATCCTAGCAACAACTCAGCTTAGTAGCAATTCACAGCAGTGATAATGCAGAGTACATAAGTGGGAAGGTGAAAGGTGTGGAGGCATTTTGCACTAACATAAGCAGTTAGCTTATCTCACCCTGCACTCATCATTACCTTTCAGACAGTGCTTTTGATTAATCTGGGTTAACAAAGTCAACTCAGTATATTTTGCATACAAATCAGTGGAAGTTCCAGGTGTTTCCTAGAAGACATTTGTAGTTCCATGTAGACCACCAGGTTATTTTCAGCATTTGAGACAGGCACCTTGGCATATAGTTCACAGGAATACTAGGATGTACACAGATGAGGAAGCACAATTTGAAGGTAGTAGAGAGAACAATCTGTTTTCCTCTCTGGGACACAACTACTTTGTTTAACTCTGTGATTCTTTCCTAAATTGCTATATTTTGGTCTTTGAAAATTATGGGTCTCTACTGGTACCTTCAGCTAACCCACCCGCTTCATCAAAGGCTTTGAAATGGAAATAAATTATTTGGACAGCCAAATGTCAGTACACATGGGAGAATTTAAGAGTAACCCTGTCTGTCAGGAAGTTTTTATTTCAATGGGAAGGCCTTCCAAGGAAAAAAAGGGATTTATGTTTCATCTGAGAAAAAAAAAATCCACCATCAGTAGACTTCTGCTCTCATGCAAGAGATTTTAAACATTGAGTAATGGACAATTAACACAACCACATAACCTTGAGCAGTAGTTTTTTCTCCTGAATGAAAACTCCTCCAAAATTCTGCCTTCCAAGTAATTGTTAGGGTATAAAGATAGAAAGATCACTCTACAGATTTTATTTGCATTTTTAATGTACATACTAGGGAAAAAATGTTCTATGTGTAAGTATCTTAAAAGTCACATAAATTTCCATCTGAAGGTCACTGACTGGTGGTGGCAATGCTACATGCTTTTCTGCCCTTATTTCTGGTTAAGAAAAGGTGAGCAGAATTTTGGCTCTTGGAGCTCAGAAGGTGGGTTGAACACAAGCATTTTAAAACTGGACATCTTGAGCTCTAATTCAATGTAAATTGCTAACTGTCAGGAATTAAAATGCATTTTCCATGAATTACCTGAAAAAAATTTCAATTAATGAAAATTTAGTCCTTTGCTTTTTTGAATGTTCTATACAGAGTAACCGTGTGCAGTTACGGACCATGTGGGTTAAGACTCTTGTTCCTCCTACTGATCTTCCGAGCAAACAGAAAGATTATTAATCAAAATTTTAGTGTGAGAACAGACTTAGGTCTTCACAGAAAATTATGCACTCATTATCTGATGTTTGCAATGAAATGACTAAGGACATTTCTGTCACAGGAATCTTTTACACAATGCAAAATGTTTCTTCATCTAACATCTCCTTGTCTTCTTTTGTCTGCTCCACCCACACAGAGAGAATCTACATGATTCTGGGACATCTCCTTCCCTATCCATTTGTTTTTTTAATTTGTAAAGAGAATTCAGAAGACTGAAGGAAGGCTGAATTTATTATTTTCATGTATTTCAGTTGTGTTTAATTTTGGAACACAGTGCTTGCCTCATATGGCAGAAGAGCTACATGTCGTTGTCTCCAAAGGAACATTTCCATGCTATGTGCACTTTGGTTTGGGGCTCACAAGGAAGGAGATGGGAAGAAAACCAGTTCATTACACAGTCACTACACCTTGCCATATTTTTCATTGAAGAATCCTTTTTAGCTGTCAGTTTCAGACAGTATTAGGTATTTGGAAGATGTCATCCCTAAGTTTTGGACTGTATTTCTTTGAGAATGAATATTTTTTTCAGATAGAGTCCTTTGAATTTTGGTTTGGCAATGAATAGAGATTGCTTTCACAAACCCTCTACAGCATGCAATTGGCAGGACTTATACCATGCTTTGTTGCATTGCTAGTTAAAATAGCACTTACAGTTTCCTGTGGGTTTCTGTGGTAGCAAGAAAAATGGACTTATTAATATTTGCAATCTAAACTCCTCCTGTGGAAGCATTTTTGTTTCACCTTCTGCTGTCAGAAGGTTATCAAGAGCACCAGTTTGTCACAATGGAGCATCATGGCTAGCAGCTCTTCAAATTCCTCAAAACCCTTTTGCAAGTCTCTGTTTCAATTGGAACAGCAACCAAAAACACACAGCTGATTCAGCTAAGTGCTTTTCACCCTCATCATGCAAACAGCTTTAAGGAGATGGTGGATCTACCTGTTTGGTTAGCCAATGACAAGCCTACTGTATACAGGAACAGGAGAGCATCCACACGCTGCTTACACTCAAGGAAGTTCAGAGAACACAACAGCTACAAAATAGTCTGTTCAATACAAATGTATTGTCTCAGTTAGCTTTGTTGAATACATATGTATATGTGTGTGTGATATTTGAGTAATGGAAGTAACCTTCCTCTCATTCATTATGCTTAGCCCTTTGTCATACAAGAGCGCTGAGCTAAATTAAGGCACATGGACAAAGGGCAGTGAGAGGTGGTTTTAGTCACTGGTGTCCTGTAGTTCTCATGGTAGGGCAATGTAGGTACTGCCTCATGCCACTCCTGTAATAAATCAGTGAACAGATTTGTTTTGACAAATAGATAAAGTCATTGTTGTTCCTAACAATGAGATTTTGGAGCTTTTAGTGAAATTAAGGAAGAAGAGATAAAAAGGTACTCCTGTTAGGATGTGACACTCTGGAATTAGTCCATGATGAAACCCAAGGGTTTATGTTATAACTGTATCCGTTCTGTTTTTATCTTGCAGTGAGCCACCTTTATGGATTTGGACTGATGGATGCTGAAGCAATGGTGACAGAAGCAGAAAAGTGGACAACGGTGCCTCCACAGCATGTGTGTGTGGAGAACACAGATCGGCAAATCAAGTAATAGCCGCTACCAAAACTCTTGCTGGCATAAACTTATGGAAAGAAACTGGGTATAATTTAGCCCTCCCTTGCATTGTGTATTTATTTTTAAAGCCATACCAGGGATTCTGTCATATATATGGATGTAGTGAATGGGAAAAGTTTAAAGAATATTGCAGAAGGTGAAGGTGTAAAACAGGCCAGACTGGTTAATGATGGATTTTTATATAGATGATGCATCAAAGAACATTTGGTTGAATGCATTTCAGTCACCTTTGCAAGAAAAGTGCAGACTTACCAGCATGTAACAAGAAAAAATGCTTTCAATACTTTATGGTATTGTCTCTCTCCAATAGTCTTAGGAGAGTCTCTAGTTCAGAGGCCAAGACTGAACTGCTAAACTCACTATGACTGGGTCTTTATAGAACCAGGCTTAAGAGCAAGATTCCATTATGTGCACTCCATGGATATAGAGACAGCATCAAACATGAGGCACACTTACAAAGCATTCAGAATATTGTTTGATAATTATATTTGGCAGGCTTGATTTGTAACTGGTATAGTCTGCAAGGATGTCATGCCAATTTAAACCAGCTGAGTCAGATGCTTCTTGGTACAGTTAACATGTAATACTTGCTGTTACGTAAGTGAGAACTAGGTATGCCAGGCATTTCCTGGGGTTTAGCAACCAGCTGTGATCCCATGACAATCTCAGCAATTCTCAGCTGGCCACTGATCCACAATAATGCTCTGTCCCAAAGGTTTGTTCCTATTTTACCTGGTGTATGTGCTTAACAGAAACCCAGGCAGTTGCCATTAGCCATTATCTGCAGAAAAATAATTACCCTGTAGTGGTATTTCCATCTAGGAGTTACATGTCAAAACTATTGATTGTAGGCTACTGACTTCTGAGTTGTCCAACACTGTCATTCTCTACTAAGCAAAAAAGATGGGGTTGTGTATTTTGCACAAAAAGCAAGAAATACTGATGTTGTTTGCTATGCTTCTATTCTAGAACAATACGACCTGACAGCATTGTCCGTTCAATTTACAAAGCCACGGGCTGTTCAGATAATCCTAACCACCATGTGATCTACTTGGAGCATGTTGTTGTGCGTATCACTATTACTCACCCTAGACGTGGCGACTTGGCAATTTACCTAACCTCTCCTTCTGGAACTAGGTCACAACTTTTGGCCAACAGGTATGGTATGACTACCCAATTTCACACTACAGTCAGCAGGTAGAGCCTGCATTGAGATGTCAGTGTCAGCAAAGAGCAGTCATGTCATTACAGCAGGGCTGCTAGAAGACACATGCTAGTTATTTTTCCTTAGAGAGATGGTCAGAATGAAGTACAAATGAACTCAGAGATGACAGTCTCAGTAGAAGACTAGTGTTAAAACTGTTGAACTCCAACACAAAGATTAGTCAATTTCAATAGTTCTTGTGTGGCTCACCATTTATTAGATGGCTGGAAAATGTGAAGAAGTCAGACTCAGTCTGATAAGTCTGATAAGGAAGCTGAATCAAAGTGTTGCCACTTATTTTTTGTTTTAATCTTTTCTTATCTTTTTGTTTCTAAATAGCAATGAAAATCAGTCAGAATAGTGTATATTTACTACTGTTCTTTTTAAATCCCTGATGTTACTTGAAAAATCCTGTTTTTCAAAGTAAACATACTCAGTTGATGAAAGGCTCATTGTAGGACAACATGAGAAGTAGCACTAGTGCTTGAAATTAAAGGTTTAAGTTGTAAATTGCAAATTAAAATTTTTAAGTTAGACATTGCGTTCAAATATTTTTAAAAGTTAGATATCATTGCAGTGATGGATACTTCCTTTCAAATGTCCAGCCATTTTAACAATAGCTACTAAGAAATACCAATCTTCTTCCTCATTCTGCCACCTCTGTGTTATGTTTTTGGAGAAACTGTCACAGTGCATCAAATTGTTTTGTTTTTTTCTTCTGACTGAACTCAGACAAGTATGTCTTTATCCAACGTATCATTTCCAACATTAGTGCAGTTTATGTCCCTGGTAAGTGGAGGGAATGATTAGCAAACTGAAAGACTGCTCAGTGATGTTTCTGTTTCTCCAATCTATTAGCAGAAATTTTCTTCAAAGAAAACATTAGCAGCTTTTCCCATGTAAATCTCACTAAATCCATGGCCAAGAACACCACCTCCTACTAGAGATGGTTAAGACACTAAAAAACATCAGAAAACTTTCCAAACTTTATCTCAGTTCCAAAGGTGCTGATAAGTTACATTTACCGTACAAAATGCTTGTATACTACTCCAGCTAGCTAGAAATCTTCTTCCTGATGGGACCATAGTATGATAAATAATTCTTTTTCCTTGATGATTTGACTTAGATGACTGCCATTCCGCTAGACATAGAGCATGGCTCCCACAGAAAAGTTGATGTTTACTGATATTATGTATCAGATACTGCAAAAATTGGTATCTGTCAGACCTATGTTGTGAGAACTCTTCTGCCATCTTGCTTAAGTCTTCACAAAAGTTGATATCCCTAGTCCTACTCCTCAGGGCTTTTAATGAGTTGAGAATGGCCTGCTTTCCAGACTGCTTTTCATCCACGCTTCCTCAGCCAGAAATGCTGATTATCTGGCTCCGGAGACTTGTATGTCTTTCTGTATCTCAATGATAGAAGGACTTATATTTCCGTTGAAACAAAGAGCCTGTTTTGGAGAGAGGTGGAGCTCAAATGGACTGGGTTCTGGTTGAAGTGTGAATGCACATTTTCATTAGAGATTATGTTAAATTTAAAGAAAAGGTAAACTGAAAATACTCTTCAAGCTGTAGGCAGTAATTCACCAAATGGAGAGAAAGTTGTCCTGGAAGTTTGGGGTCCTCTAGAATATCTCCTATGTTCCATTGTGAATGCTGTCATAGGTTGCTGATAATGCACATAGGCACACATATCTGTCTTTCTGCTGCATTGCGGCACTGAACAAAAAAATTGTCCTCTGCTAACCAGTACAAAACAGGCTTCTCTTAACAGTTATGAAACAGGCTTTTTTTTCAGTTTGAAGAAATCCTTCTTTAGTTTTCTCTTCCATTTTCATGCAGTAGTTCTTCCTCAGTTCAAAATGAAAAAACTGAAAGTCATCCAACTAGGTATCCAAACAAAACAATCTTGTGTAAACCCAGTGGTCTTAACACAGCTAACTTTTGGCTCAAGGCTTTCATGTGTCGCAGCTGACTCACAGCAAGTGGGAAATGCATTCCAGTATTCACAGTTCACTTCTGGTGATGATTGGTGTGTGGAACAGGTACAAAATTTAATTCAATCAGTGTCTTTGTAACCATTGCACCTTAGAAGTAATTATTTTCTGTACGTGCAGAGAAAGGGAATGTAAATATACGTAATAAAATGAGGGGATGTTCAACTCTTTCTTATCAGATCATACCAGAAGACTAAACAGAAAACAAAGAAACCTTTGTTTCCCAGAAAACAAATTACTCATGACAGAGCTCATAGAATCTCACCAGAAATTCCCTTCCCATGCAAACTTCAAAAATATACTGACTTGCCATCACATTGGGTTGATGGGCTACTAAAATGCTCTGTACTAATATTAGGGATAAATGTATATTGCAAATTCTAGGTCTGAAATACCTAGAGCCCTTTCTTAGGGTAAAGTAAGGGATATAAACACAATACTTTCTGAAATGGTGTTTCAAGGTTTACTTTATTTGGCCTTGCTTTAAGAAGCGATACAGCTTAGAGGTAGTAATTTCTTGAAATTAGGAGTATGCTGTGTATTGTTGATGTAAATGTTTTAGCATCATGTTATAAAATAAAACTTGAAATAGGATGGTTGTTATCCTTCAGTATGAAAAATTAGTTACAAGGCATTTGATTTTTATCACTAATACTGCATATCAGTGAATTAATGCATTCAGCTGTAAGCATGCATGCAGAGTTACATTGGCAGCAAATAGTCTGTTTTTTCTGCTATAGGCAAAGGCCCCAGAGGCTGTTGTACATTGCTACTACCTGACTGAGATGTTTTTTCTCAGACATACAAGACTTTTTAATGCACATGTACAGGATTAATAGCAGCAATACCAGCTGTTTTTACTGAACCCAGGGAAAACCACATTGTTTTACAGTTACTCATCTGGGTTTAATTTGATACAGTTTGCTGGTAAAATGTTGTTAAGTGCAAAAGGTATATTTTACATGTGCACTTCTCCACCAATTCTGGAAGAAAAGTCATTGTGTGTAATTTCTGGTGCATTGACAAGTAGGTCCCTTAAGGCAATATTTGGCCTTTTTTCTGCATATTTTATCCTTAATGTTGGCATCCCCTAAAATTACTTCAGTAAGAAAACTTGTTAGTCAGAGACTGTGTGGATTCCTTTGCAGGCATTTGGTGGATAACACTGTCACTGGTTTAAGCCTTATGTGCATTCTTCAAAATCTGCATTACAGAGAACATCTGCTTTGTTGTTTGGAAAGTACTAACATGATTACATTGGATGCACTGCAGCAGAGGAAAATACAGGCTGGAAGAGTATTGGCTGGTGTGAGGATGAGGCTAAAGTTAAGTCCAAAGGGGAACAGGATCCCCTTTTCAAAAACAATTGGCCAGTGGATTTGGCAGTGTGGGTTTCTGAGTGTTTTTTGAGACATACCAAGGTCAGTTCTAGCAAACATTCGGTACAGGCAGGCTACGGAGGTGAAGCTAGATACAAAGGGAATAGGAGAAGCAAACTTAGGGCTCATTTGTCTCCCACTGAAGTCATTGCTTATTTAATTCCTGCCCTTTAAATTTAAAGCAGCTGTTGCCATTTGAACTGCGTAACTGAAATATTTCAGCCACATGGTGGCAAATTTCCAGGCCACTAGCTTCATAAGCTTATATGGCCCTGGTATTAATAATACTTCTCTTCAGTAACAAAAGAATGTATTTTCATGGCCATCTTTTTCCTATCGTGAAATCTTAGACAATCAGTAAATTTTAATAATATCTTCCTCTGCAGAACTCTTAGACCGAAACCAAGTTGTTCTTATCTAATCTTACTCAATTGTATGCTTCATAAAATGCCTTTTTGATCTGAAGTAGAGGAAAACTTTCTTTATAGGCATGCATCTTTTTTGCAGCTTAGATGTTATACTCCAATATTAAACAAAACTAACATTTTATGTATCCTAATATGATGAAACATAAGAGCCAACCTTCACGCTGAGTCTCACTAAAAAGGCATCTGAGGTGGTAGTAATCTAAGTCCACAATGAGTTGATGATAATCCTATGCTTGTACTGTGTCTACAGGGTGAAGCAGTTCTTGGACAATTTTTTCTGTCAGGTTGCTATGTTTTTTCATTCATGTTAGTTATATATTTTTTCTTTTTTTTCCTTTTTTTTTTTTTTTTATTTGAGGGGTTGATGAATAGATATCCCACTATTGAGCAGCTGGCTGACCAGTGGAGTGTGTGGAGCTCGTCAGCCTGACATATCTGCAAGTAATGATGGATCTTTTAATGTGGATATGTGTAGTTCCTGGGGACAAACACTCTACTTTTAAAGATGGTGATTGCTATACTAGCCACTATTTCAGGCTGGCAAGCATTGTACGTTATTTTTCATGTTACTCCAAACTTTATCATGATAGTTTAGGGTTATCCATTGTTTCATAAAACTAACTCATAAGCAGATGTAACATGGGAAAAAAAAATGTGTATGCAAATATTTTAAATATGTTTTATTTAGCTCCACATCCAGAAGTTTTAAGTGATCTTCCACATGTAGGTAAGAAAGCTTCTGAAATGCTTAGTGTGTTCTCTGATGATTTATTTTTTTCCCAATACTTCAGTGCAGATGGTTAGTAGGGTCTGGCTGAAGCTTTGGTTAAGTCAGTTTGAGCCGTCTGCAGTTTCTCAGGGGCTACATCTCACAGGGAGCTGATTGATTCGACCCTGTGGAGAAGAGCTGCTTTAAGGAGAATAGTTGACCAAAGCACTTTCAGGTACACAGGTTGGGAAGGCACTACATAGTCACTTGAAACTATGAGTGCACTTAAAGTCTTGTGGCCATGCAGACTTCTGGGCAAGGACCACTAGTCCATGAGGCTGCCAGTTTGTGTGCTGGAGCAAATCATAACAAAGACTGCTGCTGTAGGAAAAGATGATTCTGTCTTGCCAGCTACTCCACTGCACAGCCACTAGTTAGT